GAGGGTATCGTAATCCCGGCCGTCTAATTTACGACAAGCTGTGCGAGAATCACGTGGTCTATAACTGTATGGTGATGTCATATTTCCCTCGCTTTCTTCGCCCGTATAACAGGACTGTGTGGCAGTATGAGAGGGTGCACGCTTAGGATTACTATCCTGATATGCACGAGCTTTGTCAGTGCGTCTATCATAGTGGCTTGACGGTGATTGGTGCGTATTTCTATGCATACTTCGGTGTGAAGACCGTGATTCACGGTGATCCCTATGGTATGCGTGGTAGGGAGAAGATCTATGAGATTCTCGGTCTCTTAGTATAATTCTCCTACTGTCCTCATAGTCTGATTCATCGTAACCTTGCTTTACATGTCTGCTGTATGAGGGTGTACTGCCATATTCAGCCTTAGATCTCTGTTTACTCTCGTGATCGATCCCTGATTGGCCAAGCCGAGTTTGATTAACTGATTCTTTTAGATCTGAGATTTCTCGAGACATAGATTGCATGCGTGTGTCAATCATAACAGACATAGAATTTGTTATTCTTTCCGTGAACTCATTTACGTTAAAGGGGGAACGCGGCAGAGGGTGAAAGTCGTTAGTTTCTGTCCAAACTCGACGATCGACCGTACCAGACGTTGCCGGATGCAAGTTAGAGGTACTTTCTGATTGACCTGTAACATGCATCTGCTCCTCAACATTATAGGGAGAGTGGGATGAGCGACGTGATCTCTTCTCCTCATAAGGTGAGATGGCGCCCTCGCGCGACACTCGCTTGTCACCCACGTGATTAATTTTTGCCGCCTCGGGCTTAATCACTTGTTTTCTTGATGTAGATGCTCTAGTGACTTTCTTAAAATCGGGATTTTTGATCCATGCCTTGGAGAGCTTGTCAAATTTTTCTTTTGACAGATGCTCGCAATAACTGCACCTTGACTTCTGTGTACAGCTGCTTTTCTTGCATGCGAGACATCTAGGGTGAGGATCCCCCGGAGCTTGGTGTTGTCCACAGCCCGAACAGACAGGTGTCTGCTTATGAGATGAAGATCTCATCCCACAACACCTTTCTTAACTAATTACTTACTAGAGACTCCGATCTTCTATACCCCCGTTCTGCTTGTAGAACTGCTCTTTGCTTGTAATCTATGAAGCTTGAGATGATCTAATGCTTGTAGTGTGGAACGCAATCACGTGTTCGGATGTGCAACAAAAAAATTTTCCTTGTTGTCATCAGGACACACAGGAAAGAAGTGACTAGATTCCCGCCTTGCGCATGCGCAGTGGCGCCTCTGGCAAGGGATAGGGTTTCCCTCACAACTATGGATATATTGGCAGTGTAGTGGACGTCTGTTGAAAATTTATAAAAATTTATAGTGTGGTTCTCAGCATAAACAGGAATTTATGGCACTGATGTGATAGAGGTGAGGTATTCACAAGAATTATGAATTTTATGGACAAAGTAAAATGGATATCGACTCCTTAGAATATGTGGTGTGTGTGAACTATCAATGTATCCCTATAGGTTGTACAGAATTATAAGCAAGTAACATTTTTAAATAAAATTAACATCACAAGTTTGCAAATTGCAAAGAGATAATTTTCAAGAAGAACTGGATCCATCTTGTGACAACCATCTGTGTTTCAGCTGTTGTATCACCATCACACTATCATAGTGTAGATTATAATTTGACAAAGCTGCAGAAGCCAGTAATGTCAGGACTAAACATTTTGACATCATGATATTCACACAGACAGACAACTGACTCTTAGAGATTTTCACAATATTTCATTAAACAGGTCATGATGATGTTCCTGATTTCCCTCACACTGGTAAGACATTTTTCAATTAAAGATAAAACTTCATGGACGCAAAAATCTAATAATAGTTGTCATTGTTAATAATTTAAAGACAACCACGAGTGGCTGTTACGAGTTATGTCCTTTCTATGCCTCTCTTATTGACCAATCAGATTCAACCTCTCGAATCACTTGCATTTGCTTCAAACAAAACGGTGGCGCCCAGTAAAGACAATCTGATCGATAATCAAGATCTATATTGTGATAAAACGAACGTTTCTGGGTGCGCAAAGCCATGCGTTTTTTCCGCTTTGATAGAACACAGTTCTTAGGCCTTATATTCTCAAAGTCGTTCAGTATTTTGACCGCATCAGAGGCAGCCATGGCGGTGCATGTCAGAGTCTTTTCTTCACATGTACAGTATTGGAGTAACTGCTTGTATGACGACAATTCTCCACTGATGACCTTGAAATCAACTGTTCATATGACCTCGACACACAGATCGTCATCATTCACAAAATCATGATTCTTCTACGGAACAACATTTGTCCCAGGATAACAAAGGGAAGGATTAGACTTGCACATTAGCAATAGTGAGTGTGTGAGTGTGTGAAGCCAGTTTACTCTGCGCAGCGCTTGTATTGTCGGCTTCACTTCGCGGCGCTCTTTTGTTTTGTTTTGAGACTCGAATTGGGCATGTGAAGTCACACAGAAATTATTTCATTCTTAATTTAAAAACACACAGAACCATTAATATTACTCATATCATATATATTTACACTGCTGTGCAAGTAAACTTGAAGTCATCAAACATTGGTACACGAGGAATGCAATATCATGTATCAAAAATGAAAGAATATGATGGTAGTTTGTTCATTAGCAAGACGACAACAGTCACAGTGAAATATAGAGATACTGATTTTTCCGATTAATGAAACATCCAGATTAACTCTGTTTGTTTGTTGCTTGTTTGTTGTTTAACACCGCAATCAGTAATATTCCAGCTATATGAAGGCGGTCTGTAAATAATTGAATCTGATTGACATAATGAGTATCAATCTATGAAATGGAATACGATGACATGCATCAACCAAGTCAGCGAGCCTGATCACCCGATCCCATTATGTATCAACCAAGTCAGCGTGCCTGACCACCCAATCCCGTTAGTCGCCTCTTACAATTATGAACATTATGATCATGGCCTTGAATACCAGAACGCCTCCGTTGTCTTGTGGTAGAGCGTCCGCCCGGAGAGCGGAAGGTCCAGGGTTCGATTCCGGGCCGCGTCATACAAAAAGACGTTAAAAGATTGTACTTGTTGTTACCCTGTCTGGCGCTCGGCATTAAGGGGCTAAAACAAGGACTGGTCGGCTCGGAGTCAGTATACTGTGTCTGAGTGGGGTATTCCTGTTAAACTGCGGCATGGTATCTCAGTGAGCTAGCACTATAAATCGGCATCAGTCCGGACTAGTACAAGCAGCCACACACACACAAATACACGTGCACGCACGTCGCTATATAAGTGCAATAATCTTGGACGCAACGTTAAACCCAATTTCACCTCACCTTGAATACCACATTCACCCTTGTTATGTTTCTAGTTTTGTCAGGACTGTACCCAATGTTTAGTTATCACCAAAGTGGGAACAACTCTATCACATTGGGCTTCCCCTCAAGTCAGTATGTTAGGGTACCTAATTGCTGCAATTCATCATCCCATGCTTTGACCAATATTAGGTGCATCTGAACACGGAACTCACCACCAAGGGTCCTATTCCGGACTAATGCCCAGGACAAATATGTTATAAACTGTTTGCATCCAGTTTCGCCATTGTGACATCATCAAAATTCATACATAGCCTTTTCAGCTCATGTTATCCTGCAGACTGTTATGTCTTCCTGTCATGTCACTTCCTGCGGCCTTGACATCATTGTCGTGACCTCAGGCCACATGATCGTGATCACATGACGTGAACCAATGTGACCTATCTCACTCTTAGTGGACAAAAAGGTACAAAAGTTAACCAACATTCCAAAGCTGCTGTTGCAAGAAGTATGCCCCTCCCCTTTTCCTAGGTAAGGTAAGGCTACTGGGTGACAATTGACTGGGCTGCCACAACTGGACAACAAGATTGTAAACGCCCTGCAGGTCTGGCTGTATGTGGTAAATGTATTGTGCGAGCACTACTGACAGCTGGATACCACTTGCTCAACCGATTCCGTGTTCCACGAGGTGAGACTGGTGATAACGCTCTGATTTTGTGAGCTGTTAAACAACCATGAAACACATACCAGACCACTTAAAGCCCTAAACACTGAACTATAATCACCAGGTAGGAAGCGTTCATGAAATCATGTCGTCAGGATCAAAACCCTCATGTTTGTCTTGCAAAGTATAAACAGCCATTTTCTATATCTGCTGTTTGACATGAGTCAGATCAAGTCAGGGATGCCGATCAGGGCAAGAATCGTTACTGTAAATAATCAATCAAGCGATTGACATCAAGGGCATCTATCTACGCATCTACTTTTGGAGAACAAGCCTAGATGAGGAGTGCCCAACACAGATGTTATTCAGTGAAATACCTCCGAGAGGAGAGACCACTCTATTATCAATACTCTCTCTCTTCATGATAAGCTGTCACCCAAAGAACTGAGTCTCCACGGAATGTGAAAAGTGCCAATCCTGCAGTGACTCGAGCCCAAAAGAGGCTTCCATGGTTACCAAGACATGATAGGGATAAAAAGAACTTCCATGCCTTGATTGCATAGTACAGACTAGCCATATGTGCATACCATGCCGAGTAAATGGATGCTGATAGCACATGGTCGATAACTTTCAACTTTTGCACAAGCCCAATATTCATAATCTGTTTTGGTCACTGAGGATAATCATTAGTTATTGTTGGTATTAACCTGTGGAGTGTTGACAAATGTTATGAAGGCAACTGAACCAGAAATAACACATACAAGACCACTTAAAGCCCTAAACACTTAACTATAATCACCAGGTAGGAAGCGTTCATGAAATCATGTCGTCAGGATCAAAACCCTCATGTTGAAAGTGTCGTATAATCTTACAGTGGTCCTGTCACATGTAATATTATACTTGTCCAGTGATCTAAACCCAAGATATACTCAGTTATATAATATGTTTCAGTACATAAACCATCTGAAGTAGTTGTTATGTTTCACTGAATAATACCTACCCTTTTTGAACGTTTCTGGGTGCGCAAGGCCATGCGTTTTTTCCGCTTGGATATAACACAGTTCTTTGGCTTGATTTTCTGGATATCCCTTGGTGTTTTCACCGTATCAGAGGCAGCCATGGCAGTACATGTCAGACCCTTTTCTTCACATGTACAGTATTGGAGTAACGGCTTGTAGGACGACAGTCCTGCACTGATAACCTCTGGGTCAAAAAAGTTGTCAGTCTTGTTAACCCTAAGGTAACAAAGGGAAGGATTAGACTTGCACATTAGCAATAGTGAGTGTGTGAGTGTGTGAAGCCAGTTTACTCTGCGCAGCGCTTGTATTGTCGGCTTCACTTCGCGGCGCTCTTTTGTTTTGTTTCGAGACTTGAATCGGGCATGTGAAGTCACACAAATTATTTCATTCTTGATTTAAAAACACACAGAACCATTGATGTATAGTCCCTAGAAAATAAGGCAAATTATATACATATCGAACTGATATCAAATCCTTATTTAATCATAAACTATCCATTTTAGTGGTGTTTTATATTGATTTATATGTCTTTGTCTCTTAACTTAAGGGTGTTGGCAATTAGGTGGAACAGTCTGTCAGTTACACCTGTTCAAGGATTTTCAAATTAAGGCACCTTTTATTACAGATTTGAATTTAAAACGCTTCGTGAGATTTTTAGTTAACTTGATTTTTTACCTGCGGAATATACGTCCATGAGGATATCCACTAATGATAATCACTTTTGAAAATTAGTCAAGACAAGGTATGAACAAATACATTTCATAAGTATCTCAAAGGGGATTTTTATCTTTGAAATCTATGCAATTGACACGTGATGAGTTAAAAGATTGGTTAAAAACATGTAAGTATAGCGTTTCATGCCTTTAGAGGTATCCATGTCTCTGTACATGTAACAGATAATGACATAACCATGTTTCACAAACACCTTTACCCTGATCTTGTCCTTTGACTCATTGAGAACAAAACCTTTTCAAAGCAGGGCCCCATTTTAGAGAAAATATATTTCAAGTTAAATTATCAATGCATTAATAGTTTTTAAAAAACGTAACCACAAATATTTTTGTGCAATCTCGTCAGCTTGACCTTTAATTCCTCAAGGCAATTTGAAAGTCTGTGGAAAAATAAGATCTAATGTCAATCTTTGTGTAGTAGTCATAGGAAAAATTATTTCATGGGGCAGTCAAATTCAAACAAAACCTGTGTGAGGCTGCTAATTCTACCAACAATACATGTAACTGTTAAAGATTTTATATGCAGTGTGCACGCATATTTATAAACACGTTTTTTGTCATTGTGTCTTAATTGATTTTCTAATTGACTGTTGGCCTCCATAATCAATTATTTATTAGTTTATTTAACAAAACTTTTGACATCTCTCAACTCATTGGGGTCCTGAAGCTGAATGTTTGAGTATATGAGTACATGATCCATGGACATTTGCTCAGAAATTTCAGTTCGGAAGTTTACCATGTAAGTATGACATTATTCTTGTGATCCACAAGGAATATTGTGTTTGTGTCAAACAGTTCATTTTCATATATATCATGATATACATATATTTGTTTTGCTCACCTGCCTGAAGAAATTTGTTATAAATGTGAAAAGGGTTTTGTCTTTATTTACTGTTGGTTGGGGGCACAGTGTGTGACGCTCATTCTGGTGTCCCCTGCCGTATTATTGCTGGAATATTGACAAAAGCAGTGTTACACCTCACTCACTTATTTACTATTGGAACTGAAACTTTGAATCAATGATCTCATGAATAGTGTCTCTTTGTTGGGCTATTTTAGACATGGTTGCTATTGTCTCGTCATAATTCTGGAGAATTTTGGTTCTAATTTGTACAGGACAGCTGGTAAATCACCTCCAGGATTCTGCAAAGTCCTCAGTAGAGTTTGTCACGGAACCACCTCTCATTATCAAGTCATCATCACTTGTTGCTGACAGTTCACCACACATACCACGACTTTTTCCAACATCGTTGACAGAGGACGTAACGTAAACATTCAGGAAATATGGATCATTCTCTAGGTTAACATTTACTGTATTTCCAGTGGGCAGATGGATCTGAAATGAAAATACTGAGTGTGTGATTGGAAAGTATCACTATATATATACATAATTACACTTTCATTAAAAAACAAACATCTATTGATATGTAGTCAACAATTTAAAATGTCAACAAAGTCTGCGACTTAATATAAGTTAGCAATGATATTCAAATATTTTTATAAGGAGGTAACACTAACACTAAAATCTAATGATTTTGACAAAATATGTCATTATGAGGAGACAAACACGCCAAAGGCCAGTCCCCTCAGTCTGGCAATTTCACTGCAGTTTAGAGCCTAATATCAGCAAGGTTGGGGGATTAGAAGGAGCAGCTGTGAAGACAGGGTCTCTCAATTAGGTTGGGGTTAAACTGAAATGTTTAAACCCGTTTCTTGTCCATGTGTATTGCTGTGCGCAGAGGGTGGCACTGTCAAATGTCAACAATATAGTTGCTTACAAGCATACTATCAATAACATCTACAATTATTTTGAATGATCAGCCATTTATATATGGGCATTTAAGAGTGAATGAGTGAGTGAGTGAGTGAGTTTGGTTTAATGCCGCTTTTAACAGTATTTTTAGTTATACATGTATCACGGCGAGTGCATCTAAGAGAATTAAACAAAGTTCTAAACAGTGAACACATTGTAAGCCTGATGAAACTCTATTCCACATGATGGCTTTCTTGAAACAAAGCTGTTAAGGGTATAGATCAAAACTGGCCATCTCAGTGTCTCCAGCTGCATGAAGATTATGTACGTGGAATCAGTACAGCTGATGGGCTTTGCAATGATGTCACCAGGTACAGTTTCACAGCAATGACCGGTTTCCTTGAAGATGTTCTTCCAAACGTGGACCGGTTGTCCCTCACTTTCCTAAGGAATGAGGTCATTCTTTGTAGGATCAAGCCAATGATCGAATCCACTTCGACAGAGCTACATTCTATGAATGAGAATATTGGTGAGGCTAAACATGACTTTCAGGAAGGCTTAGCCAGCCAGGGAAGTTACAATGGTCAAGTCCCCAAGTATGTCAAAGAAGCAGCGCACGTGTATTCGAGAAAGCTTCCTGAGACAACATATATCTACTCTGGTCGCGCATATCCCAGGTGACCGACTACCACTTCTTATTGCCCTTGACGTCTTCATTCCATGTAACTACCCTAAAGACAACACACTGCGACATTATGCTTAAGAGAAACTCAAATTTGTTTGTGAAAACTTTGCACCTATCTTGAATGATGATTTAGAGTAATGTGAAATTTGTGACATTCGTCCGTCTGTCTGTGGTCAGTCGGAATAGTGACATGGTTCGAAAAATGTGCTTAACAGCTGTGGTTGTTGAATAAATGACTGCATACAGAAATATTGCCTTAAGTTTCATTCCCTACAACACAATGGAAGGTCCTGAGGAAAATGACAATGTTGATTTTGACAATGCCCTTAGAAAGACTAATGGTTCCTTGAAATGCAGGCTTTTAATCTTTTTAATCATGGGATGCAACACTGCACAGTGAATCGCTGCGCCTTAGACAACTGGGCCACCCGTGCCCCCTAACTTTTGAACTGAATTTCCCAAGCATTATCGCTATTTCATAGCAAAGAAAATTGGTCTCTTCTGGTCATGGTAAACCTGTTCAATCACAACTTGAAGGTAATTAGTTTAAAACAAGTAGGTCACCATAGGCATTTATATTATGAGGGGAGAGGATGTGATTTAACGGCAACACAAGGAGCCAGCTGGGCACAGCTTAATACCACTACAAACTACAGATATTTAAACAAAGTAAAATAAAAGTAAGCTACGGCAATAACATTATATGCTGGAAAAACTGCCAGTAAAACTGTATCTACAGTACAAAAAGGATAGTCCCTGGCTAACCCAAATACTGAGACAGGAAAATCAACCCATAAAGACCCAATGCTGCTGAAATGTGAGAGTGGAGGAGGTTGGGGGAGGGAGCCGAACACTGCGAGAGTGCCAACCAAAGTTACATGACTTTTAATTTATGCCTAAAAAACACTTACGTTACCTCCCTAACTGATTTTTGACGGCTACATCAACCAGAAATGAACTGTTTAGGGGTAGACTGAGTGCGCAAACTTTTTGAAACCGTCTGAGAACTGCTCACCTTAAAGCATGACGGCCATAAGTTGACAGATTTCGAGGGCGGAAGTGTCATGGTGTGGGGCGCTTTCTGTGGCAATGCACGTTCCAGGCTTCTTGTCATCCGTGGCAACCTCAACGCTGCTGCTTACGGCAACCAGGTACTGGCATCAGAACTTCTGCCTTTTATGGCAGCACATGGACCCGGTTTGATCTTCCAACACGACAATGCCAGACCCCACACAGCAATTATGACAAGGAATTTCCTTCAGAATGCGGGAGTCAACGTCATGGACTGGTCGTCGAGGTCTCCCGACCTCAATCCCATCGAACACGTCTGGGATGCTCTTGGCAGAAGTCTGCACACTCTCCAGAACCAACCACAGAATTTGCAAGATCTTGGCACCATTTTGCAGCAACAATGGCATCGTCTTCCCAATCATGTGTTCACAAGCATCACAAGGTCCATGTGGAAGCGTTGTGTGGCAGTTGTCAACGCACATGGTGGCCATACACGCCACTGAACATGTGTGCCATCAGATTCTTGTGCTTTGGACTTATGATTTAAACTGTTGATGTTATTACCGAATACCGTAGGTGCTTGGAACAAATAATGGTTACCACCGTTAATTAAAATCCTTCTTTGGACATTAATGATTAAAAATTACGTTCTCTGATACATTTGTCCGTTGTATATCATATATGGGATTACTTTTAGAATGTGAAGTTTTTAATTTGACTCAGTATATCTGTGAAGACATCCAGACTTGGGTGGAGAGTAAATCTTCCTGCGTTCTGACTGTAGTGTCTAAGAGACTGTGGATGAGTCCGACTTGATCAGTCCTAATAGTCATAGGAGTCTCTCTGGTTATGCCTTCAAAAGATGTCTGTAATGATGGAATGATGTGTCTGATTCCGGCAACAAACCAGTTGATATATGTGCCAATGTCCATTGAATATCTGGATATTGAGGACAATAGTACTAGGGTTGCGTACTCTTTGTCCAAACTTGGATAATCCTAGGCAGACACAATCTTATGGATAACAACTTCTTTAATACTGTAAAAAAGCGATGTTTCGGTACAGATCCTTATACCGTTGTCAAGAAAATCTTGACAATGGCTGTCATGTTTAAAAAAACACCATAAATGGTGTCTTAAAAAGGGCTGACAAAGAAACCCAGAACTAACATTAGATAACACCCCTATTTAGGTATAATTTTCGATCATCATTTAACCTTTTTACCCCATATCAAATACTTAAAGAACACATGTCTGAAGGCCCTATATCTGATGAAAGTTGTCTCTAATTCCAAGTATGAGTAAAATTATTGGATACCATTCATCACCAAAGCCTGAGGCTTTGTCTTGGAGACTTGCGAACTTCAACTATTTACAGTTTGTATGTGGAGGCTGATGAGCCATCCCTTCAACAATGTCGCATAAAATTATCTTTGCAGCATATCTCTAAATTACGTTCTACTGAATCCAATCCAGCATAGGTTTTTCATTATCTTTACAAAAATCTCTACAATAAAAAATAATCTCTTATTCCACCACTTGGAGTAAGAATACAATCTGATGTTTCTGCTGCTCAAATCAATCTTGAAAACATAACCCCAACTCGGCTTTTCTCTTCTCCACCATAGCAGTTAGTATAGTCAGAGGTGAATGAATTACGAAGCACATATGACACTTACAAATCTATATTTACAGATGGATCTAAGGATGGTGACGCTGTTGCCAGCACCACCATCATTGGATCCAGGACTATTTCATCCAGATTACCTGATACCTCTTCTATTTTCACAGCAGAAGCAAATGCTATTTCAACAGCACTAACATATATATGGCCGAAATAGTGCAGATGTGATCTTAAATTTCATTCACTCACACTCTCTCACTCACACATCGGATGAGCTAGCAACTAGGTGTTTGTGAGACATAATGAAACAAGAGGCCCATACGGCCTGTATCGCTCACCTGGATATTTACGTAATCATGACAAAATATACATTTGCATTGTACATGTATATAATACTGCAAATATTTCATAATTTTTTACTCTGTCAGCATTTAAAACGGATGGATGGCAAATCTGACAGCATGAACGTGTATTTATCTAGATACAAATGTAGCATGTGAACTGTTTGCATGTTATGATCCAGGATAAATCATATTAAAGGTATTATTCTCTTCATAACAAACACATGTATACAATGTATCTGTTTATTATAGGGTTGTTATGGCCCAGGTTCTAACTCCTTTGGGATCGCCGGACAGATGAACAGAAGGGCCAGTCCTGGTAGCATATGTGCATTTCTCTCATTATACTCTCAATTGTACATATGGTTCTACGGTGGGGATCTTAACTTTGTCCAAGTCATAAACTCTTTTTAGCCCTGCCCCTTAGTCCCCGGGGGTGGGGTTAGGGTTCAGCCCTTCCATTTCTCCAATTTGAATCCCCACCACCGGGGAATGCTTCCAACCAAATATGGATGATATCTATCTCTTAATTATAGAGAAGAAGTCGTTTAAAGCAATATAGCCAAATTACCCCTCCCCTATTTAGCCCCACCCCTCAGCCTCTTGGGGGATAAGCCCTCCATTTGTACAATTTGAATCCCGACCACCTAGGGATGCTTCCAACCAAATATGGTTTATATCAATCTCTTAGTTCCAGAGAAGAAGTTGTTTAAAGCAACATAGCCAAATTACCAATATTTGGCCCCGCCCCTAAAACACTGGGGGGGGGGTTCAGCCCCTCAATTTGTACAATTTTGAATCCTCACCACCGTAGAATGTTTCCAACAAAATATGGTTGATATCTATCTCTTAATTATAGAGAAGAAGTCGTTTAGGGCAATATAGCCAAATTACCCCTATTTGGCCCTGCCCCTCAGCCCCTTGGGGGGTCAGCCCCACCATTTATACAATTTTGAATTGCCATCACCAGGGGATGCTTCCAACCAAATATAGTTGATATGTATCACTTAGTTCCAGAAAAGAAGTCGTTTAAAGCAATTAAGCCAAATTACCCCTATTTGGCCCCGCCCCTCAGCCCCTGGAATTTAAAAACATGAGTGCTCTGAGAGCACAACATCCCCTGCATGAATTTTTTTAACGAGTCAAATGAAGCTCCGTAAAACAGGGGCAGTAACTCTGTCAAAATTTGTCAAAATTAAACGGGACTGCGATATGCGTATCATCAACATGTCGACATCTTGTGTGTAGAGTGTCAGGGATATTCTCTGGAAACTGGAGGAGTAGATTTTACAAGCTTAGTACCCTCACTCACAATAAGGGAAATGAAGCTCCGTAAAACAGGGGCATTAAATGTCAAAATTAGTCGAATTGAAACAGAACTGCGATATGCGTATCATCAACATGTAGACATCTTGTGTGTAGAGTGTCAGGGATATTCTCTGGAAAACTGTAGGAGGAGTTGACTTCACAAGCTTAGTACCCTCTGTGGGACGGACAGATGGACAGTCGGACGGATGAACGGACGGAGAGCGCCACGTCATAATCCCCCTTCGGCCATTCTGGCCCGGCGGGGGATAAAAACTAATAAAGCTTATGTGATAATGTGCAGCCTATGAACCAACCATGTAGTGCTTTAAATGTATCCTCCTAACTTGCAGCACGTCTCCGTCATCTCCACAAGCCGTGTAGCCGATGTGCCAGGTGAGGGACTTGCAGTGACTGATCTCAAACACGGTCCTTCCAGCTCGGACTGCCACGCCACATGTACAGAATGGGCCATATCGCCTCCTTTCTCTGCCACAGTCCTCAGTTTGTATCTGTACCTAAAGTACAAGCAACATCCAAAGTAAGGAAGCAATGGATGTGTGCGCACTCCCAAACACACACACAAAATAATTATTTAAAGGTAACCATTATGACTTCTACAATCGACAAAAAATGCACATTATCTTAAAGCATAATGATTTCATATAGTACTACTCATTTCTAATCAAATATGTCACGTTTCTTCTTACCTCAATTTTGTTTAAATCTGAATATAATGTGTAAACTTCTGCATGGTCAAGGTAAAACCACCTGGAAAATCAGACACAAGTATTCAGTAGGTTGTCAAATTAAACAATCATGTATAATGAAGCATTGGACTTCTTTGACCGCACATTATATGAGAAAGATACGTTACATTTGAGAACGAGCCAGCGAACATTTGTTCTGTTTCAATTTCAATTTCTTTTTTGGGAATATGGACATAAAATGTGTATCTGCATAACTACATTATTCAAAAGAATATTAGCAATACTTGCATCCTATTAAATGTTATAATCTGAGGATCGTTATGTGAATGACAATATCTTCTTTGGAACAAAGTTGTATTCTTGACCAGTTGGATCTGTTGAAAGAAAAAATAAATTAGAAGTTTCTGTTAATGTGTGGATACGAAACGATACGTTAATGTCTGTCTATTTTATCAGTATCAACAACAAATCAATCTCAACATGTAACTTCAGGAAGTAAAGTTGCACCACTTTTCTGTGGTTCAATAGGTTAAATTGTAAACATTCCGAAATAGAATCATAAGCATCATATCACGATATATGTAGATGGTTGTCAGCCTCAATATTCAGATATCCACATTATGGATGTTTTGTTTTATAACGATAATTGAACATTGAAACATAAAACATTAAATTTATCATTTACACACATGATGAATGGAAATTTCTGTATGAGCAGCTTATTTGTTGTCCGTTTCTACTCAATAACATGAAAGAATCTTCAAGTGTTGCGAAAAGATCAAAGAATAATGTGGCTGTCAATTCTTTTTGTATTTAATAACAGAGATTAATAAAAAAATACTAAATTCAACAATATTAGGAAATAAACATATTAGCTATCAGCATTTCCAACAGTCTGTCCCTAGCTGAAGTAAAGCACATCTGTTATTCCTTCCGTTAAAGAACTGGTGCCTTTAGCTATTAAGGGATTTGTTTTATTTTTCACTCTTTGGGCATCGAAGACCAGAGGGCCTATTTTTGGGTCTTGTGTTGATATTATATAGGGGTATTAAGTTAAAACTGCCATGAACATCAAATTGTAAAACATCAAATGCAATACACTTTCACCTTGTTATGAAGACATTGTCACAGGAAAACTCGTCTAGCAGATGAGCCGACTAAGGGACTTAACTCTAAAGTCTTATATCCCGGGCTGATATTGATCATGTATTCAAAATACATTTACAAACCAGATCAGCTCGGCTGTGTAAAACGGGGGTGGTTATTACGCCTTCTGTGGTATGACTGTCTATACGTTGGCTCTAACGCAGATACAAAATGCCTCATATCAGTGATAGATATATGATAACAGAGGTTACATTTACTGCGGCAGAAACATTATTATTTTTTTTGTCTTAACTGTAAAAATAATTTCGTACATCAGGAACTAAAGTTCAGATGTAATATGCATCGTAAGAATAATTCAAGCATCTAAGTAATATTAATGTCATGTACAGTTATCTTACCGTTACAATTCCAATTTCATAGTCCTGCCAGAAGGAAGATAACTCGTAGCTGATATTGGGGGTTTTTAACTTCAGTTGAGTTGTTGCAGTCTCCTCTCCATATGTAGGTGTAATTTTGCCAACAACTGTCACTGATGTCCCTTGATGCCACTGTTTTGAGCTTATTTTGGCAATACTACATGAGTTTTCAACTACTGCAGCAAGGCTGGTGTTATCTGGGTCTTGTACCCTCACCACATTGATGTCAAAAGGACATTGGATGTTCAACCCCTCTTTGAATGTGCCACAGCCAAAAGGCACAGTGAGTTCCAGAAATATTCTACGAGTTTCTCCTTCAGATAGAGGTTGAGTGTTATACTGCAAGAATGAAAATCTTCATTAAGTAAATAAATTTCACTCAAAAAATAATTAACCGAACATTATTTTATATTAATTTTGATACAGATGATTAATTATTTGAAGAATAAATTTTGTATTATTAATATGTGACAGACCAACATTTCTGTGTTCAATATATGACTAAACTACCTGGAGCATTCAAGTATTTAATACTGTCTGCGTGGAACTCTACACATAAGGTAAGATGTGTACTGTAGAACTTTAATTCACATTTGGCTGGGGCTGTGTATTGTACACTGTGGACATGACTCGCAGATTTTAGTTTGGGATATGTCCTCAGTAACCCTGTCTTGTCATAAGAGGTGTCTACATTGATAGAGTAGTCAGTGGTTTGGTTGACTGTGTGTCCTCTACCCCAACAGTGTGGGTGGTGTCTCAGTATCAATCACAGGTTTGTCTGAGGCAGACTTAATACTTTACAGGTTGGCTATACATAGCAGGAACAAAGTTTACTTATTTGAAATTTTTTAAAGATTACTACATAACCTTCTTTGTGATTTTTTGTCATAAGCTTTAGCTTCAGAAATGGTGATTAAACATCAACATCAATCAAATAAGTGTGCTTCATGTAAGCTTTTCAAATAAAAAATTGCAATCCCCAACTGAAAAGTGCTAATTGTGTAGGAACTATGTTTACTGTTCCTAATTCTGTCACATTTGTGTATGTATATGCCGCCTTATTTATTGGCCGCCGAACCAGCACTACTCAGTACATCCCTATGTAACCAGAGGTGTATGGGGTGCGATACCCTTCTTCCTCGGCCACTTCTTACCAATCCTTGGTTATGGGGATGATGTAGCTCATTCAACTCGGACAAGAGGTCCTCAGATGTGTTTCTGTTGCCTCTCTTAATCAATTAGTTATACACAACACATACCTGGGGGATGCACAGAAGAGTCTGATAGTACTTCTTATCGACTCTATCTCTATCTCTATCACTTTTTCTCATCCGTACTTCCATTATACAGACTGTACAGGGCTCCAGACAAAAGCCGCATCAGCATATGTACGGATGAAAATATGCACAATACGGTGGGGGATAATTTAGGAAATGTATCCCATACGCATCATGGCATACATGTACGTTCCACATTCATATATAGATCTATGTATTTCCAAAAAATGATATTAAGATTTCGAGCAGTACTTTCTTGAGTATAGTGTGCATTTTTGTTAAAAAAAAAACACTGCTGTGTAAAGGGGGTGCACATTATACATGAGTTTTGATGGTTTTCCCCAACACGAAGACATTACAGTGTGCACGTAACACCAGAAATACCATGTCAACAAATCCGAACTGAAGTACGCAAATTAATCATGTAATTACACTGTCTGGTAATAAAACATGTCCATTGTGTATCTGGACTTTGTTTGTAACCTATTGTAATAATTTTATTCAAAATTTTATTCAATATTAATACACTTATTTCAGCGAAATTGTGTCTGAAGTGATTGCTACATTTACAGAAACCTCGGTCAGATAACTGTGTTTGATGACTTGAAACAAATTTTAGTTGACAGAGAATGGATACATATATCATAAAAAGTGATGCTTTGACTTGTTAAAAGTATAGTAGAGTTCTTGCGAGCGGGAATGTGGGAGAATCCACAGTGACTGGTAATAAAGAGACCAGCTGTACCAAAGTTATGCTTATGCTATGTTATGCATAAGACTGTGCTTATGGTTATTATTAGTTTAAATATATATAGTGAAGCTGCATCTAAAATAACACAATATTGGAATATATTACTCCTGATAAAATAATAGTTTCAGGTACAATTCTTCCGATCACTGCATCAAAATTCTTTAAAGTTATATTATTGGGTAATTTTTAACTGATTTCGCCGGTAGATTGGGAGAAAACGGTTTTCAGCTGATTTCTGTTTAACGATAATCACAATCACTGCATATAAAACACAGGCAAGGGAGTTAACTGACTCGAAAAGTCCAGAGGAAACTGGACTTTTACAATCAGTTAACTCCTTTGCCTCGGGAAGATCATAAAACAATGCCTTGTAAGACTGAAAATACAATTTCAACGGTAAATCGTCATGTCTAGTAATGTCTTATCTCAAATTTAAAATTTAAAATTTGTATTAACCAAATACATCACCTATTCATTTACCTGAAATTGCTGAAGGGATACGATGTAAAAACAATTACTTCCAAAAGCCTTTCAAAGACTTCTGCTCTTAATACTGGAATTTGTCCCCCTAAAAATATTGAATACCAATGAATGGACTATCCCACATATTGATAGTCCAATCAGAGAACGTTTCACAAAATCAACATCCATAACTGGAACACTTTCGTGAGAAAGTGATTAACCCCCAAATGATTTCCTAGTGTGACAGGTATTATGGAATTATCATGGAATGTTTGGATGAACAAAACCTTCCGAATGGCGTGCTGGTTTTCTTGGGGGAATTAATCAGCAAAGAGCCGGAGTCACAGGAGACTAATCACAATTTTATTTACAAGAACAATTAACAATGAACAATTTACAATAACTTAGAAAATAGCTGAGGGTGCCACAGAGAATCGGTACAACCCTCTTGGCTGTGGGAGAGAGATCTGCTTGGTATGAGCGTCAAACCCCTTCTGCCTAACATTTTGCTACAGTATGTCTTTAACAAAAATTAGAACAAAACAAAATATGATTGGTTGATACATGATGGGTTGTGCCCTATGCTAAATGAATGGCTAGACAGAGGGGGATACTTAATCCTGTTAATCCTGTTGGACTGGCACTAATCTTGTTGATATATTTACTGGGTGCTTTGAAAGAGATTATGGTGTCATTATAGGTAAGCTTGTATTGGGGCTAATCCTTAATGCACTATAGATGAGCTTGTATGGGGGCTAATCCTTGATGAGTCTAAATTGAAGTAATTGCTGAATGTTATTCTAATATAGGTGATGACAGATTTACTTAAATAAAATAGCTCAAGGTAATCTATAAGACTATGCAGACATATCTTTTGTCTGGGAGATGGGATCTTGATACCTAAGGCTAGCATTTATCTAAAAGCTTCAAATCTATTAAACTATGTAACATGCAAAACCTAACAACTAAATGCAGTAAAGACCTAAACACCCTAAGATGTCTAACTGGCTCTAACTGGGGAGCCTCCAAAGATACCCTCCTCTCTCTCTACATATCACTAATTAGATCAAAACTAGACTACGGCTGCGCCATATACAACACCCTAAACAACTGTCTATCTAAAAAACTTGACTCAATACAATATCGGGCTCTCAAACTAATTACACGCACCCAACATGGCACCTCCTACACTTCACTTCAGGCCTTAACAGGAGAAATGCCACTAAGTCTAAGCAGGGAACAGCTAAGCTTAAATCTCTGGTCCGCATCCCAATCATACTCTCTCATCCAAAACTTAATAAACCAAAACATCGGCCCCAAAAACCAAGCTCTAGCTCGTAAACAGCCCTTACTTACCCCAATATCCCAAAGAATAAGAAACTACCTAAATGAACACCAAATTAAAAATCTTAAACAAAACTGCAAACAATCAAATATCTTCACCCCTAAACTTAAAATACCCAAAATAGACACAACACTAGCTAGCCAAATAAATAAACAAACTGACCCAAACATAGCTAAAACTACCACACTAGCGTACATACACGAAAATTGGCCAAATTGGTGTCACATTTACACGGACGGATCCTCAGATCCGACCTCCAAACACACAGGTTTCGGAGTCCATACCACACAACCAACTAAAACCACACAATCCTTCCGACTCCCAAACAACCAATCAATATTCACGGCAGAACTAATGGGCATGGCCTCAGCCCTCCATAATCAAGAATCCAAAAAACACAAAAAAATCCTAATACTTACCGACTCCCTAAGTTGACTGCAAAATTAATAAATCAAATACTTTAAAAGCTCCAACGACCTAACTAAGGCAGGCAAACAAATAACCTTCTTGTGGATACCCGCCAGCGTAGGAATATACAGTAATGAAAACACTGATATAGCAGCTAAACTATCCCTAAAAATCCCAGAAATAAGCTTAAACTTACCCAACTCAAAATCAGAAATTAAAAGTGTAAACAAGCAAAAAATCACCAAAAAATGGCATAACCCATATCTAAACTGAAATAGCCAAATCAAAAAAGTACTCAGCAAACCACTAACCAAACCAAAAATTCTCCATCCATCAAAAACAATTGACAGAGTAATCACTAAACTCCAAACAGGATACACCAACCTAAATAACCACCTAAAAAATATTAAAAAACACACTACAGGTAACTGCCCACACTGCAAACAACTAGAAACCCCAGAACACGCACTCATCCACTGCACACACTGCACAAGCTACCTAACACATCGAACTGCATTACAAATCACCCTCATTCTAATCAAGGCTCTCACTCTAGAAGCAATACTAAACCAACAAAATAAACTAGAAAACTTCAAGGCCTTAGGTGTATTCTTAATCAAAACGGAACTAATAAAACCCATCTAAAAACACAATAATCTACCAAATCAACATAAACAAACAAACATCCACCATACCAAGCTCCCTTAGTTCTCCTCCCCAGCCCCATTGGCATCTATTCCAAATCTCAAAATTCCCAAATTCTATATAAGCAACCCCTAAAGCCCCCTCTTGCGTTGCACAGACCACTTTCGCCCCTTTCAGAAACACATTAAATGGCCTGGCTGTGCCCGTGTGCGAAATACGCATCAGTCGGAAAGCGCATGTTAAACCTCCAAAGTAAGTAAGTAAACTATGTAGACATAACTCTTGTCTTATTGAATAGTATGTCTAGGAGATGCACTCCCATTACCTTAGGCTAGCATCTATCTAAAAAGCTATAACTGAAACTACTGATATTTTATATATGAATTTTACCTGATGATAAGTATTACTTGCTAAACTATAATTATATGAAATGATGTATAAATATTACACC